TATTTAACTAACTGAATCAATTTAATAGTATTGACTAGTGTTAAACTTGCTCCTTTGGCTGCTATAGATCGTATATGCTTCAAAGATGCAGTAGCTTAATAACTTTCAAATTATAAAATTAACGGTTAGTTTAGGTGTCAGTGTGACTATAAGACTTAGGTGTGACTAATAAGACTTCCCAATGCATCAGAATTATTTGTAGCCTAAGAGGCCGTTTGGTAGCACGAAAATCGGCTGATTTGGCTGATTCTGCTAAAATTTATGAAATTCTGGCTGAAGTGGCTGCATTGGCTGATTCTGCTGATTTAAGAAAAAATTATTTTTAAAATATATTTAATTAATAAAATAAAGAAAAATTTATATGTAAAAATAGCTAAAATGATCATCTACAGTAGCTTCAGTCAATACAACCAAAAAAGTAATTTCAACCTTACTTTTTCTGCTTATTACACAATTCAGCACGCAAAAGCAAAAATTACGCGTTTGGTAAAAAAGTTGGTTGATAAGCCTGATAAGCCGGAAACCAGTGTTGCCAAACGCCCTCTAAAAGTAATAAATAATCTAGCACCTTATTTTTGCAAGAGGGTTGCTAATTTTTCTCCTACCCAAATTTTAGTTCAAAATATCAATTTGATACTCCCAAGTGCTCCGTTTCTCAAAGATAGTCACGGTTTGACTTCTCTAGGATTAAAGAAATAAATTGACTTTATTGTAGAAAATAATGTTTAGACACTTTGAAAACACTGTTTAGACACTGTTTGACACTGTTTGACATTGTTTGGCACTGTTTAGAAGTAGATTTCTTTACCGAATAAGGAAATAAGGGAAGCGTGACTTTGATTGCGAAAAGGGGGTATATCTTAATAACTGGAGAAACTTCATCGCAGCGACCAACTATGACCGCTGAACAATAATTTGTTTCTTTGGTTCACTTTGAAATAAAGACACTAGAGAGCCATTAAGAGTAAAAAAGCTGAATACCTAAGTTCTATTGCATATAATACCTAAGGAAAAAATATAAATTAAAATATCACAACTTAATTGTTGCAAATTGCAACTTGCAATGATTTGTATGAATCTCTAGAATGATAAAATTTCGACCAACTACCATGAACTCTAAGTTTTAGAGAGTACTACGTCGAAACAGAGAGATGGTGAACTCCCAACTAAACCTTTATAAACAAATACAATATTGTACAAAGTTACAAACATTATTTACACACGTGTGTGTATGGGATGTTTAAAAGGAAAAGAAGATGATGGATTTGCTGGAACCTGAGCTTTCTTTTGATGGAATTCACAAGATGTTCTCCCAAAATTTAATGAACTAAATAAGGAATATACCATTGAGTCATGTTGAGAGAGGAGGAAGGCAACTTTAGTATCAATTGCATAGAAATGCCATCAATTGAAGGAAGTTGGTCTGTCAAGGCAAATACGGTAATGAATTAGAGTATGAGGCTAATTTTTTTGACAGATTCCTCCCACTATTTTATTAATGGTTAAATGGTCAAATACGTACATGAACTAACTTAAATTGTTCAATTAGCCCCTTATATAGGAGGTTATGCTCGTCCGTCGCCAATTGGGGCAGTTCCCGGTGGAATTTTTTGATGAAATTTTTTGAGTATCTTCTTCATTAAGTCTAGTTTACTCATACCAAATTTGAGCTAAAAATTCAACGGGGAGGGCAGTCAAATGATTTTTTGAAGATAACTGCGCAGTTAAACAACGCAGTACATTTCGGAAAATCATTTGACTGCCTTCCCGATTTAATTTTTAGCTGAAATTTGATATGAGTAAACTAGACTTAATGAAGAAGATTCTCAAAAAAATTCATCAAAAAATTCAACCAGGAACCGCCTCAATTGGCGACGGTCGGGCAGAACCTCCTATATAAGGGGCTAATTGAACACTTTAAGTTAGTTCATGTACCTATTTGACTCTTTAGCCTTTTATTAATTTATATTAAAAGCAGTCCATGATATCCTATTATTCACGACACATACACATTACCTATTCGCTGTTAAACAAAGGGAATGATTGTCCTCCCATTCATGAATTTTAAAGGTTTTTGCACACAAAAGTTTAAGGACATAGATGCATTTGGCAACTTCATGAGGGTATTAAAGAATTAGGTTGGCCGATTGAATAAGAAAAAGTTGTCGATTGGTCTCCTTTAGACTAACATTTAGAGATATAAATAAATGTGTATATATATGGATGTATTATGAATTAAATATACAATTATATATCATATATACACAATAATTTACAGGCCAGACTTTTAGGCCCACCTAGGCCTATACTAAAATCCAAGTCCGTCCATATAGTTAACGGGTCGTGCACGGTCTGGTGGGCAAATATATATGTTCAAACCTGTCCATTTGTATGGACGGGCCAGCTCGATTTTGTGCAGGTTTAGCAACAAATAACAAAAATACTAATAGTGATTATATTTGTTGTACCTATTTTTTTTGTGAATGAATTACATGATAGTAGAGGACAAATTGAACAACCTCTATTGTAGGAAGGTCTTGTGGATTTTTCATTACCTTAAAAGGTTTTCCAAGTAAATCTTAGAGCCGTTTGGTAACATTGAAATTGGCTGAATTGATTGATTCTACTGAATTATGAACTTCTGGCTGAAGTGGCTAGATTGAATAATTTTGCTGATTTATGAAAAAAATTGTTTAAAATATTTTTTATTAATAAAATAAAGAAAACGTTATATGATAAAATAGCTAAATCAATTCAATGCTTGAAATCAAAAGTTACGTGTTATTAATAATATTTCTTATTATTACACAATTCAGTGTGCGAAATCAAAAGTTACGCGTTTGGTTGGTGATGTTGACTGATAAATATGATAAAGTAGAATCATCATACATCCACTGAATCGTGAATTACTTCTATTGCTTTTGTACGGAGTATTACTCAATATTGCATCGTAAATTTTCTATCCTCCACATACGTCCTTCATTTCTTGTAGTTCCTCCAAAGTGTTTTTTGACTCAAAAGGCATTTTGTAGCTTTACCCTTTGCGTGAACATTCAGAAGTAATGATTGAAGTCTTGAACCATGTTTTGGGGCACTTTCATGTTTGATTTTTTTAGTTGTAGATAAATTATTGTGGCTTAGGTACTCTTCGCTTAATTTTGAATTTTTGATCCTGTCTATATGTATATTCTCATTGCCAAGATTTGTTCCTCATTTATTATGTTTAGCATATTATGCTCTAAACTAATCTCGTTAGGCAAATGTATTTGCATGATTACCAAAATTTGGTCAAAATTAACATATTTGATCTCATTTGTTTAAATTTGCTTGATTTAATCAGTTATAAACAAGTTTGATTTGATTTGATTTGTTCAAAGTCGTGGCTAAATAAGCCAATGTAAATAGTTTCTAATAAGTGGACAACCACAATAATTAAAGAGCGATACATAATAATAACTTAAATAAAGCAATGCTATCAGACTATTAAATATGAATAGTAAACCAATTATAAACCACGCGTATTATTAGGTAATTATTAGGTAATACTCCGTATAAAATTAGTTTTCATTACAAACCTTTATGATTTACGAGTGTCAAATAATAATGTGTAATCAACCCCAATTTATAACACGTTTGCAACAATCGGTATTCATAGAGCCAGAGGTATTGGACAGATAATCAAAGTGTGCCTAGACGTGAATAGCATAAACCTAAAGTCTCTATTAAAGATAGAAGCTTTCGAGCTACTTTTTAAAAAAAAAGAATCCTACTAAATTATATACAAAAAACTTCTATAAGTATGTTACTTATGACATCTAATAATAGAATGTAACATTATAGTAATTTGTATATATAATTTTATACTAAAAATTATCTGTTCACTAAAAAAGTAAAAGTTATTCTCAAACATGACTTTTTTAATCTAAATTTCTTTTCTTTGATATCAATATGAAATAATATCCCTCCATCTCATTGGATTTTGCCGAAATTTTTTTATTCTATAATCTTTGCCATTTTTCTTTAAAATACTCTGGAATGAATTTGTGGTTATTCCAATTTCTCTCTTTTCTACACAAATTTTATCCGCGCGCTTTTTATATCTTATTCTACACTCAAATCAAAACAGAAAACATTCAATGAGTCGGAGAGAGTATTTTTTAATAAAAAAAAATTAAAAAGCCTTTTCACATATAACCGTAATCTAGTCCACCTAGATTTGACATTTACCATAACTAACGCCTTTTAAAACACTCACAATTACTATAAATTATAAAACTTAATATATTAATTCGGTTTGCCTCCGTCGTAGCAGCAAGACTGGGACGAAGAAACGAAGGTGGGTGCTCGGCTCTGCGTAGCCACGTTCTCTCCTAGGGTTTGCTCCGCTAGGTCGTTGCTCCAATTTTGATCTTTGTCGATCGAAGATCGGTTTTTTTCTCTTTTTTGTTCTCACCAGTTTCGTCATCAAGCTAATGATGGGCTGGGGTTTGGTGTTTCGGGAGAGATGTTGCGGTCGGAGTTGCTTGGCGGCTCTACTTGGCTGAATCTCGGTCGAGGACGCACGTAAGGAAGAATTCGAATAAGAGGGGCCTTGTGCCACTGGTTTCGATTGGGAAGGAAAGTAGGGATTCCGGGTTCACTCGTGCTATAACCACAAGGATTAAAGAGTTGCCAGTGGAAATTGTGGTGGAGGTTTGCAAGGAATGTTTCAAGATTAAAGGTTGATGATCTGTCCCCCTCCTGAGCCACCCCCGAGGATGATGTTTGAACTTTGAAGCATTATTGTTTGTTTTTACTCGTCTAAAACTCTTGCATTAGGTTTGGGGGTTGAGAGGTCTAAGGTAATCGTCGTTAGCTTTAATTTGCCCAAGTTAGGTCTAGCGAGTTATATTGCTTTCTCAAATGTAATTAACTCAGAGTCTCGGCCAAAGGCGGATGGTTACATGTGGTCCTTTTACGTTCTTGTACCTGGCAGAATGCTATTTTAATGATATAAGCACTTTACGATATAAAAAAAAACTTAATATATTAAGGAGTATATTTTGCCTAGATCAATATGGGCATTTTATATACACCGAAATACACTTGCATTTGATTTTTCATATACCCAATATGTATTTGATTTAGCACAAATAGTAATACATGCATTAGCAAAAACTATAAAATACTCCGTTTATTGGTAAAATCAACATAGGTATTTTATATTGTAATCTATTGGCCGCAACAATAATATATTGGCATTTGATTTTATATATACCCAATATATGTATTTCATTTCAACTTAAAATTGCCAAACAATATTTGTGAAATGTGAGTTGCAACGGTTTAATCCAAATTTATCATCAAAAGGTAAATAACATTACAAATGAAACCCGAACTGTGAATGATAATTGATCAGCGCCTCCGCTGCCGGCGCCGGCGAAGATAAGACTGGAAATTCATGAGACACGGCGGCAAAGGGTGATGCCATCACCGACGGGAAGCTGGCAAATCTCAACTCTCAGGTCAGCGGCCAACGCCTTGTTGAATTCCAACACGAAATCTCTGTAGTACCTAACGTACTTCCGCAGCGGCGCATCCGGCGGCGCCACCACCGATCCGTTCCACAGCGTGTTGTCGTAGCCGATCACTCCCCCCACCTTTACCAAATCGATGAGTCTCGTGTGATAGTTCAAATAGTTGTCCTTGTCAGCGTCTACAAAGATGAAATCAAATGTTCCGTGGTACTTCCCCTGCAACCACAATAATTTCAGCTTTTTCAATCATGGATTGCTTGTTGGAGTTTAATCGGTTGTATTATTGGAAATAATTCTGAGTTCAATCACAATAATTCCGTTGCTTTTTTAAAAGCAGAAATATAATCACAATAGTCTTCTCCAACTTCAAAAAAATTGCTTAGGGGAGTAATTTGGAACACTTCTATATCTCTCTGAAGGAGCAAAAACAGTTTTAAGAAGCAGATTCAAATACCCTAAATTAGTGAATGTCTAAGATTTTAATTTTTGTAATTCAATATGTATGTTACCTCTTGGATCATTAGGTCAAGAACAGGGAGTGCTGGGCCTTCTTTGAATTCAATCTTGTGAGCCACACCAGCCTTTTCAATCACTGGGAGACCTAATTCATAGTTTTCTCTGTTGATATCCATAGCCAGGATCTGCAAATATACATATTCAGATGAATCATTAAATTTCTTGTTTTGTAATGTGTTAATGATTCTTTTATAATTTTTAAATTTTGTTAGTGTTCAACTTAAAGAGCTTAATTGAATTACCTTGCCATCATCAGGGAGAGCCAGGGCAGTGGCAAGAAGAGAGTAACCAGTATAGACACCAATCTCCATGGTATTCTTTGCATTGATGAGCTTCAGAAGCATGTTCAGGAACTGGCCTTCATCTGCAGATGTGGTCATTATGTTCCTGCAATATATGTTCTCAAAACTTTAAACATTTGAAACAAAGATTGGTTTCATAACATTACCCAGCAGTGTGTAATATATAATTATATGTGTCTCTTATATACGGAGTATATGTAATAATGTAAAGCCCTGTTTAACAAGAGATGAAGAAGAATGATTCACCATGGGTGGTTAGCTGTTATCTCGCGCAGCTCTTTCATGGCTTCGGGCTCTCTTGGGTACACACTAGTTTCAAGGATATACTGCAAAACAATACAAACTGTAAGAAAATACTGCTCCAAGTCCATATAAGATCCACATGTGCACTTGTTCTACTAATTACTCCTTTGATCATGGTAAAGGATAGTAAAGTATATATATACCTGGTAGAGAGCATCACTTTGCAAGAGGCTCTTGTGTCCAACTTCTTGGTGCCTGCCAGTTTCTCCATTGGTTGCCATTTTCTCCTTTTTCTAATTTGATGGTGTTTTTAGTGTTTGTTTGTGAAGATTGGAATTGGGAAGTATAAGCAATTGAGCTATTGAAAGATGGACTTCTATCATTCACTATATATAGATTAATATATGTGGAGGAAAGTAGGTGATTGTTTGGTTTATGGGACTTGTGAGTGATTTGAAGTTGGTGAGAATTTTTCAATCCGTCCACTTTTTTTTAGCTTAAGTAGTACTAGTATTTTAGTAAGAGCCCGTTTGGTAGCACAAAAATCGGCTGATTTGGTTGATTCTGCTGAAATTTATAAAGTTCTGGCTGAAGTGACTGCATTGGCTGATTCTGCTCATTTAAGAAAAGAAAAATTTAAAATATGTTTTATTAATAAAATAAAGAAAAAATTACGGAGTATATGTAAAAATAGTTAAAATAATCATGTACAGTAACTTCAGCCATTATAGCCAGAAAAGTAATTCCAACCTTACTTTTTCTGCTTATTACACAATTCAGCCCGCGAAAGCAAAAGTTACGTATTTGGTGAAAAAGTTGACTGATAAGCCGAAAAAACAGTGTTACCAAACGGCCTCTAAAACTAAGAGTTTAGTTTTAAGGGTAGAAAATAGTGTGCACACATAAAATAAAAACAGAAAGTATAAAAAATGATTATTATATTTCTTTATATATTTATTGACAAAAGAAAACTGGAGTATCAATAAATTTTCATTCATGAAAGATGAATTAAGTCAAATTTAACAGGAGTAGATTATAAAAAGTGAGATACTATCTTATCTTAATTTTATTTATTAGGTCAATATTTCCTAACTCACCAACCGAAATTGACCCTTTTCATCACCAACCCCTGATATGACCGCTATGGCCGTCCAAGATTGACATTTGGTATATACGTACACATAACGATGACTGAAATGTCACAATTCGTTGTTCAAAAGATGCTTGTAATTGCAGAAATGCTCATGCCCGGGGACGGGAGCAGCCGTCCGAACTTCACTGTTTGGGGCGGTTTCCGGTGGAATTTTTTGATGAAATTTTTTGAGCATGTTCTTCATCAAGTCTAGTTTATCCATATCAAATTTCAGCTCAAAATTCGATCGGGAAGGCATTAAAATAAATTCTTGAAACATACTACACATTATATGTGCGCAGAATGTGCAGTATGTTTCAAGAATTTATTTGAATGTCTTCCCGATCAAATTTTGAGCTGAAATTTGGTATGGATAAACTGGACTTGATGAAGAGCATGCTAAAAAAAATTCATCAAAAATTTCCACCTGAAACCGCCGTAAACAATGAAGTTCGGACGACTGTTCCCGTCCCTCCGGCTGGACCTCAGCAGTCCTCCTTGTAATTAATTCAAAGAAAATGGTGTTTGTACCCACTTTTATACCCACCCATGTTTGTGAAGTTATTTGTTTTTGTCAGTGAATTCCTTCACAGACATATTTTGTCTGTGAAGGAATTCAAAGACATATTCTGTCTGTGAACCGGCTTCACAGAAAAAAATAGCCTTCACAGAGATGAGTATAAGGTGGGTACAAAGTGGTTTGTACAACAAGCATGGTTGTTAATTCAAAACCCCACAAATGACTGAGGTGTGCGAACAAAGCAAGCTAATTTTAATTTGCGGTACAAATATTGTGGAGTTATGATATTTTCAATTGGACCATTTTCCATTCTAAACATACTCACTTCCTCCCTGAAACGACTTCTCATTTTCCTTATTTGGATGTCCCTAATTTAACTTCTCATTTCCTTAAATGGCAAATTATCTACAACAAAACAGTGCAAAACAGTGTTAAATAGTGTTAGACAGTGTCAAAACAGTATAATTTACCCCATGATAAGTTTATTCTCTTAATATGTGTGAAATATTTACCCCATGGACACTAAAGTTCAATCTTTTAGTAAATGATAGAATCGGAAGAAATTTGTGAAATATATCAATGGATATACATAAGACATGTACACTAAAAGATTAAAATTAATGTAATCTATATTATATATATTAAAACAGAAAAGTGCAGAGAAAATTTGGGCGGGAACACTGTAGCAATTTGAATGAGTAATTATTGTAAACAAATAGTGCACCGAGTAATTATTGGAACACCAAAATTGTGCACACGTGCAGTAACATGTTGGCGGTCAAATATTATTACGGTATTACAGAGTACTTAAATATGGAGTAGCATTCAATCGGCGGCCATGAATTGTATCGTTACATTATTCAAGAAAAGAATTAATTGACTAGAAATAATTGGGCCGAATTAGTGAAGTATTTATTATTTAGTGGCTCAATCCCTCGGTGCAATAATTAGCCTCACCTTTAAACAAGCAAGTCCACTATAAAAGCTCATCCCCTTGATGTACATTTCAGAAATCGGTTGAGATGGGAATAGAAGCTCAAGATTAATTTTAAAGGTTTTCAACTTTTTTTCCTCTTTTTTTTTGCATTAGTGTTAAATGCTCGATGCATTTCAACAAAAGTTTACCCTAATTGCATTTTCAGAAATGTAATGCTACTAACATACTTTTGGTGTTGCAGGGGATGTTACACCGCAAATCACGTATACATAGGCTTTTAAAACTACAATAGTCATGTTTAATTACATATCTGAAAATGAATTGAAACCGGTGAAATCAAAATCACCTAATTTTTTAACTGTGTATTTTTTGATGAGGTAAATCAATATCCATATATATATATATTCTATATTTCTATACATTTATAAACACAAAAGTATGTGGGGAGGGAATTTGGGTGGGAATACCGTAGCTTTTAGGAGCAAAATAGTTTTAATTAAAGTTTTCTCGAGTGAATGATGATATTATGCTAGCAAGTAGCAACAAGATAATTACAGACTGAGCAGTTCATTTAATTTGTTGTATTATCGGAGTACAAGGTATTCAATTACTTTTAGACATATCATCAATGAATATATATGATGCTATCAAGAAAAGTATCGGAAGGGGAACAGTTTACTAAGGCAGGAGAATAATTTGGAGTAATAATTCTTTGGAAAGTGCAATAAGCTATTGAAGTAAATATGTGTCTTTTGAGCTTTCTATTGCCGCAATTATTGGAGTCCATCGCTGTAATATACGAAGTGTAGTACAAGAGTGCCTTATAATTATTGAAGTACATGTTGGTGCAAGCCATTTCTTTCGTCTGCCGCATTGATATCAGAATCTTTATGTAGTGGAATCTTTAATTCTTTACTCTTTCAGGTTAATCGATCAAATCCTTTTTACAGTAATAAAGAAATACATATATTGCACTTGAATTTGTATTCTTACTTGGGAATTTTTCCAACTAAAATGTTTATTTTAATACGACTCTTATCAACTGTGTAACGACTTAAGTTTATTATTGACTGCTACCTGTGGTTCAAAATATTGATACTGCGTATGAACGTTTATTGATATTAGGTTGAATGAATTTGATATGAACGTTTTTATAATCAAGTTTATTATTTACTGCTGCCGAACAACAAGGCAACAACACCTGTCGAGCTAAATATGATACGTAGTACTTTAATTCGTAAATCATTCAGACTAATGAGGCTAATTGAGTTTTAGTGTTTTTTTCTTCTAGGTAATTCGTCCAAAAATACACCTGTGTAAATGGGTCTATCATGGATATATAGTTTCAATCACAAAAAAAATGGATATATAGTTTCAAGTATTGAAATTATTTGTAAAAAAGACAGCAACACTTTTGTTGGCAATAAACTTATATTAGATATAAGAAATTAAATTCAATTTGTGGAAAAAATCAGGACTAAAATTGTCGTTTATGTGAAACAGTAAAACTCCAATAGTGGAGGGTTGTCATAGTTTATACTCCCTCTATAATAATAATAATAATAATAATAATAATAATAATAATAATCCAATAAGAAAATATTGTGACCAGTGACTCGGTGAGCTGGACACACAGGGGCCGGGGGCGAGGGGTGACTTCTGTGAAGCCATGAGCCGTGTGACTGTGTCAGTGTGTGAAGTAGTGAACATGAACTTGAATCCTTGGAATTGATAGAAAAGGAACCCCCAATTTAATTCGAGGATGATTTAACTTAAAATTGAGGTCTAGAAAATGGAGGATGGAACCTAAAAGGGTTTTGCTATAGGTACCCCCAAAACGGGGTACCCCATTTGTCCCCCACCCTATTGGGTGGCCACAAATGAGCCAACCCATTTATGTGGTGCCCCACTTAAATGAGTTGCCTCATTTGTGGCCACCCAATAGGGTGGGGGACAAATGGGGGTACCCCATTTTGGGGTACCTTTAGCAAAATTCAACCTAAAAAGTGCATAACTTTTTGTTTTGTACTACGTATGATGTACTTGGGAATTTTGTGCAGGAGGCTATGAGGCTATAATCATTACTAATATGCTTCTCAAGTATCAAGATTAAGAGCGAGATTGACATTTTCGGTCATCCCTCATCTTTACTCTCAAATGATATCGCGCGATCCAGTGTAATGTGATCTAATTTCTACGGAGTATTTTCCAACCTCATTTTTATAAATAGATTTTCAAAGATAGTACATACGTAGTATCTCATTATATTCATCCTTTCAAAAAAACTCATTATATTATCTACACTACGTTTAAAAACCGGCATGCCTCGACTAAATTGACCAGGATACTAGCTTAGCGTTAATTAGTAAACAAAACCGGTTGGATTATTGATGGAATTGAAAACACAAAAATAGATGAAAAGTGGAAAACCAGGATATTAGCGTTAGTATAAAAAACCAATTTTGGGTTGTTTTTTAAGAAGTTTATATATTTTTATTTAAGCATATTTAGTCTTATGCTATGTATAATAATGTATTCAATTATTTAAGAATCATGACGTTGAGCGTTTAAAAAAAAGCATCATGACGTTGAGTCAATGGTAGCTTTAGTAACAATGTAGTACAGTTAACAAATTTGATATCAGTAATTTTTTACAAAAATCCCTCTTAATAATATAATATTGTAATGCATGCCATCTCCAAATCATGCTGTTTATCTTCCTCGGTGACCTTTGTAATCGCTTAGTGGCAAGCCGCATTTCTAATTTTTCAATATGCATTTATCGGTCACAATGAGATACAAATGCAGGAATGAGGTTCGCATGGTTCACGAAAGAAAGCAAGAAGTAGAGTGCTTGGACCTTTGAATATTTCCACTTTGATTCATACTTGCGTTTGGTGAATTGGTGTTTGTATTTTATATTTAGTAAAGTACGTA